GTGTGCGTGTGTGTGCGTGTGTGCGTGTGTGTGTGTGTGTGTGTGTGTGTGTGTGTGTGTATTTTAACTGCTCTTGAAGTTGGTTTTTATAAGCATGGATGATTGAGAACCACTAGCCTTGGACTCTGCAGGGTTCTCTAGCGCTTGTATTTATGAACCTATTCTTTTATGGAGTCTCTGTTCTCTAGTCAAGCAAGCCTGTTTGCCATTTTCTGAAAATGCTGCATACCTCTTGGTATCCTGTTTGCTAGGTTAGAATGGTCTCCTCACCTATCTCTTTGGGAAACCTACCCATCATTAAGATCTATCACTTCCAGAAAGGCCTTGCTGAATTCTCTCATCTGCAATGTGATGCCTTATCAGGATTAACTTTCACTTTCTTTGACATCCTTCTTAGTTCTTGCTTTTATGAATATTTTTCTTATGACCTTTTCCTTCTGTCTTGTGCCATTTCAATTTGCAACTTCAATGTGTCTTTTCTGCTATGTAAAGGGCCCTCAGTGAAAGACTATTTTTCCTACAAATATTTCTCTACAAATATTTTCCTACAAATATTTCCCCAATGTGCCTAGCAGAGTGCCTTGTGTGCAACAGATTCCCAGTTCGTATTTGCTCATTGAGTCATGCCATAGACCGAGGACAGCGTCTCCATTATCCAGTATCAGGCCAGATGTCAAGGTCTGACTTTCTCTTACTGGCTGGGGTACTTCTCTTCAAACTTTTAATCATTCATGGCCTTTGATAATCTAATACAGAAAGTTCAAAGGGCACTTCAATCATTAATAGAATGGAGTAACAGATAATTCACTCATAGTGATGCCTGTCCTCCTTTCCTCAGCTTTCTCTCTTTTCCCTGCAGAGGGGCGATTGTAAATTTGCTCTTAGGAACTTGAGGTGAGGGTCAAAATAATTGGGAATAATCTAATTATCCTCCCTCTATAAACCTGCCAAAGTTATCAAGTTGTCAGAAAGTAGCCTTTCTAGATGTTCCAAGTAGGAAGGGTTTTAGGTAGAGGGGATTGGAAACTGAAGAGTGTTCAGGAAGAGAAGGTCACGGGAGCTATGGATTGAGTTTGTAAAGTGAGCAAGAGCCTGAATGGCTAGAAAGCTACTGCAGGTGTCCGCAGCACCAAAACAGGTGGCTTGCAGGAGCTCACCCAAGAGTCTCTGAAAACCTTAGGAATCTCTGGAAGCACCAGGAAGTCAGCTGATTGCCAGAAGCTAGCCCAGAAGGTGCTGCTAATCTCATGTTTGCCATCTGCCCATGTGCTGTTAGCCCTGCCACCAGAGAATAAGGGTTTCCCCTTCTTTCCTATCTTCCAAACCTCATGCCTGTACCCCTCAGTGGCAGAACCTGACCTGGGAGCAAATGGGAAAAATAATTCTGAGAAACGCAGGCTTCTCTCCTGTGAAGCGCAGGAAAATCCAGAGAGGGGTAAGAATGATGTTGCATCAAGAACAGACAATCTGGCAAAACTGAACCAAGGAAAGTCAAGAAAAGCTTATTTTAAGGAAAACTTATGGAAAACAGAAGAAAGAGGAAGAAATGGAAAAATGTAAGTAGGAAAAGGAAAGAAAGTCCAAGAAAAAATTTCTCCGGAAAAGACTTTCAAAGCAAGCAGGAAGATGTCTCCAAGAAGGCCTGCAAGAGACTACTGGTTGGCCTTCCCATGGGGAATTTGCCAGGGCCTATGGGTAGTTTTGTCCTCAGCACGGAGGGTCTAGAAACTGGGCTTCCAATCTGGCCCTCCTGCTATGCCCTCCTCTCAAAGCCCCGCACAGTTTCCTGATAACCGTCTATTTGAGGGCCTGAAGCAGTCATTGGAAAATTGCTTCAGGATGATAGAGGCAGAGCAAGAAGGGGTGACTGGTCTTGGAGGCTCTTCGCACCTCTTTGACCAGCGTGTGTTTAATCTCTGCCATCTCAGCTAGGCTGAGGCTACGCAGGGCAGGATCGCTGTCATTTTTGCTTCATTACCTGATCCCTGGCACTTAACACGAGCTTGAAGCTCAAAGGGTTTTGGCTGGTTGAATGAATACGTAATCAAGGACAGATGAGGTATCGCTGATTCAAAGGACAGAATGCCACATTAGCGACCTGATTAAGTGCCTCTCTCTTGACCAGTAGTGGTAACTTGATTCTACAATTTCTTTTTATTAAAAAAAATTCAGAATGTTAGTCTCTTTGAATTTTATGTATCTATTATCTCTATTTGTGCATATGAAAATATAGATATATAGGTATCTATATATAAAATATGTATATGTATATATAATATACAATATATGTACCATATATCTGTATATATTATATATACAGATGATACAGATGCAGATATGAGTAATAATGATATATTATAATATATATTATGTAAAACTATAACATATAATATATATTGCATTACATATTTAGAGGATTTAGTATCACTGCTTAAGCTACAGTAAAATAGCCATTTCAGTGGGTCCAGAAGACTCTCGTCTTTTCCCATCATGGATCGGTTTAGTAAATTTAATTATTAAAAGAGAACCTTCTTTTCCTCACCCTTGTGTCTTGGGGTAGAGGCTTCCTGAAGGCCCACCAGGATTTCCTACATGCAAACTCAAAGAAGCTCCACTAAAGCCACACCCCGCACCTGCTTTCCTCCAGCACCACTTTGCTAGGTGTCCTTCAGAAGGTTATGTCCCCTTCCACAGCTTGCCTTTGTTGCACAAACCCTCCTGGAGAATTAGGCCAAGCTCCTCAATGTCCTATTGACTGATTGATTGATCAACTGATAGAGAAAGATCAAAACTTCAAAACTGGAGTGCTGAGCTAGTGCTAGCTAATAATTTGTTGCGCGTCAGCTGGGGTAGGGATTGTTCTTCCTTGTCTCCCTGGCTTTTTTTTATGCTGTGACCTCTACTTGGAATATTATGGAACCCTCCCTCCACCCACTTCCTGTCTATGTCATTCTCTCCATTTTTTCTGGGAATGGTTCATGGTATTCCACGGAACCCTTCTTAAACCTCTTTGTGCTACTTTATTCTCTTCTACTCAAATCTGCTTGTTATATTCAGCAATACAAGTGATATTAATGCTAATTATATTTTAATGAATCCCTTCAACAGTGTATGTGATAATAAATTCTTGAGGTAAAGAAACATGTCACTTATTTTTGCATATTTCTCATAGTGCTTAGTAGAGTATTAGGAGCTAAGTATTTTTATATTCATTTTTCACTCATTCATTTGCTCACTCATTTCTTCAACAAATATTTATTAAATAACTGCTGTTCTAAGTTATTGGAGAATAAAGACTAAAACAAAGATCCCTGTCTTCTACGGAGAGTAGGCAGACAATCAATAATAAACTCAGTAAATAAATTATAATATTGTAGAATGTGACAATAATGGTAAAAAAGAAAGGAAAATAGAGCAGAGTAAAGGAAGTCAGGAATGCTGGGGTCTGGGACTGGCAGGAGGTATTAATTAGGTTGGTCAACGAAAGCCTCATATGAATCTGAATTTGAGTAAAGATTTGAAGGACCTGAGGGAGTGAGCCATGCAGATTATTTGGAGGAAGCTCTCCAGGCAGGAGGAACAGAATGTGCAAAGGCCCTGAGGCAGGACTATGCCTGGCATGTTGAAAGAATGGCAAGGGGTCCTTTGGGCTGGCGTGTAGTGAATGAGGGGGTAGAGTAGTAGAAGAGGAAGTCAGAGAGGCAAAGGAAAGGCCAGACCATGTAGCCTGGACAACCTCTATAAAGCCTTTTGGATTTTACAGCAACTAGAATGAGGAGTCATAGGAGGGAGGTGGGCAGAGGCATGAGCTGATCTGATTTTCATCTCAAAAGGGCCTTTTAGGTTGCAGAGTTGAAAATCATCCAGAAGTCAGCAATTTTTTCTCTAAAGGGTCAGATAGTAAATGTTATAGACTTTGCAAGCTATATAATCTCTGCCACATCTATTTTTGCACAAAAGCAGCCATAGACAATACATAAACAAATGGGCCTGGTTATGTTCAAATAAAACTTTATTTACAGAAACAGGCAGCTGGCCAGATTTGGCTTGTGGGTCATAGTTTGCTAGGGTTGGCACAAACTATAAGGCAAATATAGAAGCAGGAAGACCTGCTAGGAGGATTCTGAAGCTTTCCAAGCAAGAGATGATGGTCACTCAGGCCACAGTGGAAGTAACAGAAATGGCAAAAAGTGGTTGAGTTTCAGTTTAGTTTTACTTTTTTCAATTCAGATGATTTCCTGATGAATCAATTGTGCAGTGTGAGAAGAGGAGAGAGGTCTAGAATGGTTTCATGTTTATCCTGGGCGACTTCAAAGATGTGATGTGTTGGCATCAACTGAGACTGGAAAACTGTGCATAAAGAGGGGACTTTTAGACATAGTGGGTAAGCAGTGAGCATACGAGTTCGGATGGAGTGCCCTGAGCTGGCTGGCCTAAACAGCATCTTACAAGAACGCAGTTTTAACACAAGTCTTAATTCCTCAGATTTTGAAACAATGACCAAATTGTACAAAAGCCTTGATAATTAAGGAGGATGCAATGAGAGATTATTGTGGAGGAAGAAGTGGATCATAGACCATGTCTAGCTGCTGTTTGTACAACAATGACCACACTGTTACTACCCAGGGGCAGTGAGCCAAAGAAAATGGAATTAAAAGTCCCTGGAAGTTGTAAAACTTCTCCTAATGATTAAAATTAGGAACAGGCAATAGGTATTAACATTATGAGTTTCTGGCAGAGTTCACCCCAAATGGAGTCAGTGATCGCTGTGCCAAGGCACACTTGCACAGGAGGAGGCTGCAGTACTTATATTTTCACTCTCCTCCTGGGATCTGCAAAGTGTGGCCCCAAGGACTGCTGACAAGCTGGGGAGGCTGTTGAATTCTCAAAGGTGTCTTGAACAGATGCTTGGTGGCTCTTAAACCTCTTTAGAGGAAAACAAATACCTGTCACTCCTGGTTCCTCGTTCCTGTGCCCCTCACAGGCAGGATGGTGGAATGCAGAAGGCAGATCAAGCTGGTTATAATTCAGCTGGAAGAGTGTGGCAGGCTACTTAACCCTCTCTGAGCTTCATTATCATCATCTGGAAAATGGGAATATTAACCTCATAAGGCTGGTGTAAGGATGAAAGTGAGGATGATATTTGTAAATATCGTGAAGTTAGTGCTCACCACTCGTCTTTCTATGAGAATATCAGGGAGAGAAACACATTGCAGTTTACTTGATCTGTGCAAGTCCCCCTGAACTGAATGGAATAGGCTAAATTTATAACTTCATAAAATTACTTTTCTCAGTGTTACAGTGTTTTTAATCTTCAAAGATCTTCAAAAGGCTTCTGAATTGTGGGCAGAGGCGTATTCTGCCCTGCTCTGGAGTCCAGGCACTGACCGCCCAGCTCGGCGAGTCCTGAAGCCCTGAGAAACGCTGTATTTTGACTTCCTCTAACTGTAAGCTCCTGCATGTTAGGAACTCTGTCTTTCTTCCTCATAGCGGTGGTCATTGGGATTACTTCCCAAGCACCTATTCCTCTTTCTTTTGTTAAGCACCCAGGCTATTAATTCAAGAGTCCATTCCACTTACTCCAATGTTTGGGGGCAAACTGGGTCTCTAAGGGTGGGGCATTTGTCTTTAGCCTTAAGTCATCAGTGTGATCCATGTCTCATTCACATGGATTAGTTCAAATATAAGCATAGAACTCAAGTCAGTGAGGCACATGGACAGGTTTGCTGAGCCCTGCTTGGAAGAGTTTCTGCCTACACATCTAAGAAAGCTTCTAGAAGTCATAGACTATACATGTGGATTAGGTTTCCCTGGAAATTATTAGTAGGCATCTGTTATGGGTCGAATTGTGTCCTTCCAAAATCATATGTTGAAATCCTAACCCAACAGCTTGATCAAAGACTTCTAGCTTATAGAATTGTGAGAAAATAAATTTATGTTATTGAAGCCACCCAGTCTTTGGTATTTGTTATGGCAGCCCTGGTAGACTAATCAGTATCAGGATGTAGAGCAAGGCTTAGGCTGAGGCTCCCTTCTGCCTTCTGCCATTGCTGAATTGCTATGGCAAATCATGCTCAAAGCCCACTCTACCACTGAACTCTACATGACAGAAGAAAAATTATCCCCTTTATTGCTTTATTCTTTGAGCTGTAACTTGTAACCAAATATGTGAGGGTATTTAGCACCTAGACTCATGCCTTGTCACAGTAAGTGCTTACTACTCTTTGTCGAATTAGTAAAGCAAGGAAGGAATTAGCAAGCAAAGTATGGAACTGTAGTATTAATATGTTGACTTGGGAAACTGAGACAGCAGAGCAGCAGGAGAATGAGAGTCAACCTGTTACTACACTTTATCGATCACATTCCTGCTGCATGGGCCAGAAGTCAGATATTTCTGTTATTAAGTGATGAAGCTAATTCATAAAGGTGACTGGCACTCATTACAATAAAAGTTGTGTAATTGGTAGACTTCTGAAAATGTGAGAATTCCCCTCAACTTTTACAGTTGGAAATTTCTAATTAGAAGCAAAGGACCATTAGAACTAGGTTGCTTCCAGCCCCCTGAGGACCATGGAGATAACCCCTTACTTTTAGAGGAGAGAAAATAAAGGCTTAACAAGGTTAAGTGCTTTCCCAAGGTCTAATGATGTGCTAATGGTGGAGAAAAAGTGGGAACATAAAGAAACCCAATTTTTCTGAAGAAGAAAAAGCTTTACTGGGAGAACAGCTCATTCCTTTTAGTTAAACTATTCCCATAGAGATAGGACAATGCCTTTCTTTTCCTGATTGAGAAAAACTGATTTTCTTTATGAACAGAGACCATCTCTTCTCAGAAGAGGAAACACTGATGGCACTGTGCGGCTACTGGAGGAATAATCTAAATAAAAGATGCGTGCATTTATTCAGATGTTGGCCAGTTAAGCAACTCTTGGTGGAGTGAGTGAGTCATATGGCAGAGAAATGTCCTGGCATAAAGTAAGTAAAAAAGAGCACAAAAAGAATATATATTCAAAAAAAGTTGGTTCAGGAAAAACACAGTTAAATTTTACGCAGTATCAGTTTTGTGTTCTTTTTACATTTTGGGAACACTTTGACATTATGGAATAAAAGGGTGAAAGATGGGATAATGAGACATTAGATAAGTTGTGAAAAGGAAAATACTGAGAAGCTGACAGAAATAAAAAGGCACTAGATAATATAAAGAAAGAATGTTTTGAAACTTATCATAGGCAAAGCAACTTTTAAGATATTTTAGTAACACTAAAAAGTAGAGTTAACACTGCCAATAATTGAATCAAAATAAAATCATTGATTAGAAAAATTTAAATAATTCTTTCAGACATAGAGGAATAGGACAAAGATAGTTAAATGATGGTAGAAAAATACTATAATTACTAATGTGTGAATAGTAAGTGTTCCTGAAGATGAGGTAGGGAAAAATGGAAGATGGTCTATATTCAAAGACATCAGTAAAATAATCTAGAAAATCACTTTAACCTATGGATCAAAATATCAAACAGGTAAGAAATATATGAAAATAGAGACAATTTGGAGACCATAATTAATGAGGCAACTTTAAAAAGATAAGTACAAAGAAAACATTGAGAAACTGAATATATAGACACAATGGCCAGACTATATAAAAATAGAACTCTGATGCACAACTTGCAGAAACTAGCTCAGGAAGTGAAACTACCGTGTACAGGAACCAGTCCAGGAAGCTGTGATCTGAGAGGTCAAAATAGATGCTGCTTTATCAATGAAGGCAGGCCCTAAGGTTAAGGAAACTAAAATGACTTACAGGTTGAGGGCACAGCTAGTATGAAAAATATCTAAATTCCTACAGCTCCAAGAAAAAACACACCCTTGCTAACCTCCCTAACAACGGGAGTTATCAGGCTTATGTATAACCCAGACCACTACAACTCTGATTAGACAGAGGACCAGCCTTACAAAAATATTCTTTTCTGATAAGCTATTGCAAACATTAAGCCAGTTTCAGCCAGTTTATAAAGGCTGTGCACAAGTTGTCTTTGTGTCCTATAGTTCAGTAGTCCACAACCTTTTTGGCACCAGGGACCGTTTTCATGGAAGACAATTTTTCCAAGGACCATGGGGCAGTGGGAGGGGTGGTTTTGGGATGATTCAAGTGTATTACATGTATTGTGCACTTTACTTTTATTATTATTACATTGTAACATATAATGAAATAATTATACAACTCACCATAGGTTGGGGACCCCTGCCATAATTCACCTTTTGATGGAAAGAGCCAAATTCGACCTCATTTTAAAACCCTACTCCCAAGTGAATATGGGATGTATGTTATATACATGTTTGCCCATTGCACGTGCATTCAGCTTCCCTCATAAATATATACAACTCTTCTCTAAAACCTGCTGAATATGTATGATATCAGCCCAGTGAGGAACAGTGCCTTCTTCAAAAGAAAGCACCTGGAGACTTTCTCTTCCCAATTTGCAAACCAATATTGCCAATAAAACTTTTCTTTCTACTATGTAGCCAACCTGGTGGTCTTTTGGATGACAAAGCCAAACAATACCACTAGTAGCATTTGCCCCCAAACATCCAGAACTTGATTAATGATGGATAACTTCTTGCATTTTTTTTCCCTTGCTTCCAACTTAAGACCAACAAGAGAGTTAAATATGCATTCCCAACCCATCGCATAGGATGCTGTGCTCTGCTTAGCCTGCCTACAGCTTCCCCAGGCCAACAGCCTCCAGCCAGGGCACACCTGAAACTTTCACTTTCTTTTTTCCTCTGCAAAACTTTCCAACTCCTCTCCTTGCCTTTGAGTCTCTATCAACACAGGTGATGGTGACTAACTCCCTTGCTATCACAATATCCGAGTAAATAAATAGCTGTTGCTCATTCTCATTTGGGTGGTCTTCGTTTAATTCTACAACATAAATTATGTCTTATTTTTTTAGTATATAGTAAATATTTTTTCAAGGTAATGATTACATTTTTACACCTCAAAGACACATTTAATAAGTTTCAAAGAGCAGAATCCCTTCCAAAAATATTCTTTGGCTATAAGGCAATAAAATTAAATGTAAATTACAAAATGTTGAAGAAAAATAAAGTCCCCTAGAAATTATGAACAACAACAAAAGCTATTAAGTGGTTATCTTGTGAAAGAGGAACTAGTTTAACACTAAAATATTTAGAAAATAAAAACAATAACATTGCATATAAAAATGTATGAATTAAAAAAATGCATAGGCTTCAATGTTTTCATTATGAATAAGAATTAAAATAAATAAATAAATTGAGCATGTAACTCAAAATCCAGGGAAAAAAAATTAATGAAATCTACAGAGGAAAGTGGTAGTGAACTTTGCCCATGGGCTTGGACACCTCACTCTTGGCCTCACCTCCCTTGCTGAATCTCTGTCTATTTTCTCTGCTTTCAAGTAATACATAGGAGGGATGCTAGGGTAGAAAATTCCTACATTCATTAGTAAATTACCCTCCAGAAAATTCTTTGAGGCAAAGCTAATTTCCTTTTGCAATATGATTTGGCCCTACCAGAAAAAGGAAATTATTTGAATGTGTGCCAAAAAATATGTTTTCTCTCTTTCCTTTGTTGAGCACTCAATGGGATTTATTCTCATTAGTTTCCCTTCTTTATTGCATTTGAATAAAACAGACAAGTTAGTCTTGAAGATGATAAATGACTAATAAATTTTAATTGGCACTTTAGCTCATAAAATATAAACAGTCATTAAATTCATCCAGAAAATTGTTAGCATGAAAGTGCTAAAAGTTGCAGAATGTGCCAAAATCACGGCTTCAAGATTTGTTTTCTTTCCAACCTCAAGATTAACCCTACTGCCAGAAGTCCCAGTGGAATATATACGCAGGAATTAGTTAACATTTTTTTGAAGGGGTCAGAATTGTGAAGAGGAAGGAATTGAAGAAGAGGAAGGTGGGTTTAAACATGGAAGAAAAATATTAAAACACTTCCTCCAAATGTTCTGCTAGGTGCTATGTTCTCTCTTTTCACAGATACATGAGTGCTTCTATAGGCTCTATGGGGAAAAGAAGACAATTAGG